GGGAGTGGGAAGGGGCTCATAAAATTAAACAGAAGAGACTGGCAGGACGTGCCTGGTAGCATCTCGATTGGGTGAGAGGACTGGCAGAGTGAAGGGAGTATCACATTGAATCTAGAGGTGCAGTGTCTTCTTTTGCATTTTTCAGATAAACAAAATTAGACCCAGCGGTGAGAAACTCAATGAAACATCTGCAAGGTGTGACTGAGGTGTGACCAGAGACCATTCTCTATAACAATACCACTGTGCATTTACCATATAGCAGTTAGAATTGCAGATCAATCTTTTATAAGACATTTTTTTTAAATCAATAATCATCTAATAATTCAGCATTCCATTGTTTTTTTGTTTTTTTAAATCGAGGAGTAGAAACATACCAACAGCGATGAAGCATCATCAACTGTCCCTTCTCACCGAGTCACGTCTAATGGGTGTGACGTTACTTGAAATATCTTTTAAATATTTACTTTTCCTTCAGTGGAGGACAAAGGGCTTAAATGAATTTATTTACTTTTAAAATTATTATCATTTACAGACTAAATTTGAAATGACTAGATCTGTCAACAAGACAAAGCAGTACACAGTACTATTGGAGGAGACACTATTTTGATGCTATTTGACATTACTTGGAAGTGTGCATGTAAAGTGGAGTGGTCGAAACCAAGTGATAAAAAACAAAACAAAATCATGGACACAGTCATTCGATGGACATGAATAAGTGAACAACAAAAGGCTGACAACTTGATAGATGGCTGCATAATGGTTTTAAAAAATAACTCAGGTAAATATGCATTTGTATCATGTTATTTCATTCTACACTATAGGCATCACATAGTTTGATTTTTTTTTTTCACACACAACACACTACAGTCACCTCTTAGAAAATGATGTAATCAAACAGCAAAATAGAAAGTTTGCATATTTTTGCATTGTATGATCCTCCAAAGTTTCACAGCTATTTCATTAATATTGTCTAGTATGCTCTGCACTGTTCTCCACTGAGCTGCTTCCACCTGGCTTTCCTTTTCTCTGTATGGGAGTGTTTGGGGAAACTGGTAGACTGTATGTTTACATCTAGGCCCTCAACATCTGAGAACCTTAGTCTTAGGTAGACCTCAAGTTGAGGAAGAGGGGTGAACAGGGTTTAAGGTGGAGGTTGGGGCAGGGGGGAGCATGTGGAAATCCTGAGACACTGTGTGGCCTTTTAACACGAGCCACAAAAACAGAATGGACACAGAAGGATGATGAGGCGTGGGAGTAGGGGGCGGATTTGAGTGAAAACAGATGCAATCTTTTTGTTTTGCCACCGCCTCTGATGGCAGGGGTCACCCTGTGCCAAGCCGCTCAGCGTTTGTTGGCCTCATACCAGGCTAACGTGAAAAACCTGCTGGGAAATAAAAAGGACGTAACTGGGGCAGGTTGGGAAGGGGGCAGAATAGCTGTAAACACATCAAGCAATGACCTGCATAACATACAACCCTATAGCAGCCTTACCTGTCCACCTACACTGGGGGTCACTGTTCTGATAAACCACTATATTGTGAACCTCTGAGACACTGACAGCTCTCCTGAGACACCAGTAGGCCCACACACATTTGATGTTACCACAACAAACAATGATTTTCATCTAACAATCACAAATGCATGCAAGCGAACTGACATGCGCGCACGCACACACACACACACACGGAGGCATTTATGCACACACGCAACCAGTACAGTCTCTCACTCTCTGTCTCTCTCTTTCTCTTGGTAGACATTAGTCAGAGGGCAAAAAGAATCTACATTGTATTTATCAGGCGCTCTATTAGATCCCAAATCATAAACCCTACAGGCGAATCATATTAATGTAAACATACACTTTATGTTGAAGTGGTTTATATTGCGTGATATGGAAGGGGTTATGCTCCAGTGGGGCTAGACTTCTCAAAGAATGCAATTTGGAAAGAAAGTGAAACAGAGAGGAAAAAAAACATAAATGTGTATAAAAAATGAGGCGTCCATATAAGAAAGGCTACAAAAACCTCCACTGGCCCTCTGGCATCGGCATACAGCAAAAGGCACCACAATATTACTCTATTTTTTACGTTGTGAAAAAACTGGCACATCTTTTTATGCTGTAAATCAAAATGTACATATAAATAGAGTTTTCCCTATAAAAAAGTCTTTGCTGTTAACTAGTAGACAACTTTTGCTAAAATGAAAATAAATATTTCATTTGTTTAGAATATCTGTCAGTTATATAAAATAAAAATATTTCTTATAGATGCAGGTCTATACTATATTGATTTTTGTTGGTTCATTATCACTCTTTAATGGGGTGTATTGTCCGGTTTGGAGCGTGAGTGTGTGAGTCTTGTATGCATGTTCCCATGCCCACTGTGCCGCCCTGACGAGTGAGAAGTCCGACTGTCCACCGGCCTGTAGATGGTGGAGGGCTCGGCATTCATGTTCTGCATACTGAGGAAGGGCGTGCTCTCGCCGTCCTCCTCTGACTCACTATCTGTTAGGCAGCTTCGTGACCCATAGTCCCGAGATGCCTCATATCCACGTGGGGCCACGTGGCCATTCAGTCTGGATCTCCGCCAGCGCCGGCTACCAGTTCCACTGGACCCACTTCTCTTTGGTTGCTCCCGAGAGGAGAGATACTCCTGGGTGGTCTCATAGTCTTCTTCCTCAGCCAGCCGGTAGGGGCTGGAGGGCAGGCTGCCCCTGCTGTCATTTAGATAGGTACGACGCTGCTGCCGGTAGGGCTCCTGGCACTGGGCATCGTGTAGGGGCACCTGGTAGCGGCGCAGCAGAGGCTGATCATCCTCCAGAGGGTAGGGATTGTGGACAGCAGGGGGGAGAGACATGGCATGGCTGGCATTGGGGGATGTGATCTGGAAGGTAGGCACCTGCGGGGGCAATGAGTAATGGAAATCCACTGGGGAGAGGCGGGCTGGTGTTGTCAGGGCTGACACGTATCTGTAGTAAATACAGAGGGGAGGTTACAGTTAATTAGAGAAGAACACAGAATAGACCTGAGAAAGAGGTGTGTACAAAGAGCAGTTTGAATGAACATTGCACCTTAAGTGTCAAGTTGTATGGGTGCTTAACTGTACTTTTCCATAGATACATTTAACTGAGATTTTCACTTGAGCAGAACTGATGTGAGGTAGGTTGCACCCTGAAGGTTATCTTCTTTCATAAACAGTTTTTTCCCCAATTACTTGGAAAAAGTGCAACTTTATGCCATCCAGAATTTAACATGTTGCCGTTGGTCATCTTGTGTGTGTATTTGATATCCTACAACTGCTCAGAATTTTCCTGTCTGTACAATAGAAATGCTTCTGTTGTGAAATTAATGCCACCATTGGCAGAAACTTCAAGTGGTGTCCCTCAGGGATCGATTGTGGATCCCCTGCTTTTGTAAATATTGTTGGGACATATGTTAGACAAACATTAAAGTAGCTGACTCTAATGATTTGCAAAGTAAAATAATCATTTTAATGCGGAATATTATTGGGTGCTCAAATGTTTGTAACAATATGGCCCAGTGTTTAAGCTATCTTTAAAATTCAGTCAGTTCAGTCTCTGGACAGTTAAAGATTTTATTGATAACATTTCCAACGTTCTTGGATGATCACGTGGCTCTATATCTGAGCTTCTCAAGCAGTTAAGCCAGCCAGAGGTCCTCGGGCAGGAGTTAATTGGAGGGGGCAGGATCAGGACTTAACTCTCTTCCTTTGTGCCCCTAGGCTCTGGACCAACCTGCCCAACAAGATCACCCGGCCAACTCAGTGTCCTACTTTAAAAGACTTTCCAAAACAAACCCTTTAAGTCGGGATATTATTTGAAGTAAGATTTACCCGTTTATTAAGCACCGTTTGTAGCAGGGCATTGGCTTTATGTTGTAGCATGTTGATGTACAGGCTGATTACTTGCATATTAATTTTAATCCTCTCTCACACCTTAACCATACACAACTCATAGTTATCATGACTGTCATCTGAGAACCTTTGTTCAAACATGTCCTATGGCCAGGCCATGTGGACACCATGAATGAATGGTAAAGCCAGGTTTTTGAAGATGAAAAACCCCTAAAGACTGTTAAAAGCTAGTTCTGAGAATCTGTTTCTTAGAGTCCAAAGTCAATATTAAGCTTTAAAGACAATTTAAACCCTAGTTGCCCAAATTTGGATCGCCTAGATTGTCAGAGCATAAGAAAATTATAGGGTTTTTTGCTACAGTCATAATATCATAATCGAAACCCAAATAAAACACTCATGTCAATACAATTAAAAGGCGTCTTAGAGTTTACATACGACTGGTGGTGAATCATTTTGTACCAGAGTGTATGAAGTGTCTGTTTATTGCCTTAAGGTAACTAAGAAGCAGGCTGTGTGAGACACAAGCCTGGGATATTCCCACAACACTGCTGATTCAGCTGATGCAGAAGCTGTCACTATGATGTAAGAGGTGCTTGTTACCTGGAATGACTCGGAGGGGATGTTGGTTAAACAATCTGGCCCTGCATACCAACTCAGATGCCATGGCACTTTATTATTGCATGCATTGTAGCTGTGTGCTGGTATTGTTGATACCTTAAAAGCCAAGCACATTAAAGAAAGGACATGTCTTATCTTGTGATTCTCTTGCACTGGCCAAGTGCTTTAGATCCTATCATATTTAAGAGTTTCAGCTGCTTTAGGCACCTTCTTGCTTCATTACGTTAATTTTGACTTGGCTGTTTGGTGACTGAAGAACTGAGACTAAAACCTCCAGAATATATCTAGCAGCAACAGGATGCCATAAATTACTGCACAGTGGTTTAGTTTTAGAATTGATTCATATATTAAGATGTCTACATTTGTTTCTAACTATGTTTGAGGTCCTAAATGTTATGTTCTAAATGGACCAATGGTGGAATTAGAAAGCCTAGATGGATTTTTAAGAAGAAAAAAAAAAACAACAAAAAAAAAAAAAACGAGCTATCTAGTCAGTGTTTGGTATCTCTGTTCTGGGCTACTGCAGAAACATGGCAGTCTCCATGTAAGACGACCCACTCCCCTGCCACCCACTTCAAGCTAACAAAAGTACAATATACTACAAACTAATAAAAACCTAATCATGAATACTACGTTTCATTCCTGCTAATAGATCCCCCTAAATCGTACATACTTGTGCTGTAAAAATTGCACAGCTAATAGAACTTAAAAAAGCAGGCAGCAGTTGACTTATCCAGCTACAACCTTTGCTTATCAGATGTCACCATACACGCTGACTGTGTGCTTCTAGACAGCACAACTATTAAAATAGATAAAAGTATGATGCATCTGACGTAGATTTGTTTTCATTTTAACTTTTTCATGGTGACAGAAACGGTGGTTTTGAAGATGCTTATTTTATAGATTTAAAAAGGAGAAACAAACAGGTGACAAATTAAAGGAAAAACCTGAACTGTAGCCCCCAAAGTAAGCACAATCTGTGGCCGTGTTACACCGTAGAGCACATTTTGCTGGCATAGTTTGTGTCCAGTTGTCCCCTTCGAGAGAAAGTCTCAGTCCATACCAACATAAAGGTATTCTGAGCGATCACCTTTATCATATAATGTGTGTTTTCTACCCTGATGGGAGTGGTCTCTTCCAGGATGACAATGCTCGCATTCATAAGACACAAGGGGTCACTGACTAGTTTAATGAGTATGACAATGACGTGAATCATATGCTAAGACCTTCACAGTCACCAGAACTCAACCCAACTGAACACCTCTGGGAGATTTTGGACTGACGTGTTCGGCAAAACCCTCGACCGCAGTCATCAAAACACCAAATGTGGGAGGATTTTTTGAAAGAATGGTGTCCCATTACTTCAATAAAATTCAGACAGAAAATTTTGTGGTGTTGGTTTTCTTTTAATTTGTCATCTGTCTCTTCTTGGTTTTTGCTTATTAAAAATTCTATCTGAGAATGTGACCACTTTTCTTTTTGATTAAAAAGTGCAACATGCCTGCTCAGGTATCAGAATGTCTACTGGAGCTGGGATGTGTTTTTTCTTCAAGTCTACTTGTCAAGTTCAATTGAGCTATCACTTTACCACCTCTTCTAATGGTGAACCATTTGAAACAGAACACCTGATAGCGAGCATTATCAAGGTTCCATGAAGCAAGACATTAGAATTAATGGTGATTTTGACGACTTGAGGCAATGGTGAATAAGAGTCTGCGACATTCTCAAGTATAACAACATTTACCATTGTTTATCAAACTTTAATAGAAGAGTCTTCAATCTTTCATCACCTAACGAGGCCACAATTTCCTTCCTTCAAGAGAATATGTAGTCTATTAGCAAAAATACCTAACCAACTGTTTTTATGGGATTTAAGTTTAAGCAGTAGAGACCAATCATGCTCCCTAATACGAAAATTTCCTCCCAGCTTACTGCTAATGCAGGCTTGTTGAGTGATGAATCCTTACTGTGAACTTTATTGGAATTCAAAACATCAGCACTGAGTGGGGAGGGCATTTTGGGATTTGGGGGGTCACTATCAGGCCCTATAACAAAATTAGGGAGTCTGTCTCAGGCACTTAAAAAGCAAGCTCAAATTCAGGTCAGGGGTAACGCTGAGTACCACTGAAACACACTGTTTGAATAAAGAGCATGTAAAGACCTAAAGGAATATTATTTAGAGGGAATCTACTGCGTTTGAGCTGTCATGTTCTAGTTCTTTATAAAGGAACAGTCCAACTTTTTGGCACTATGGTTGTTTGCTGTCTTGCCCAGAGTCGCATGACAAGATGGATATCTCTGCGCCTCCAGTACAGAAATATGTACTGGATAAATATAGACTGATGTGGAGTTGATGAAAGGTATATTTCCTCACTTCTGACAGACCGTTTCTTTCTGCTTCTACACCTAGATCTATCTCCGTGATGTAGAGTTGAAGCTGATGTCTTCTTATGTGACAATAGGCAAACTGCAAAACAAGTGCATTTCAAACTGTTCCTTAAATTAAACTAAAGGGAACACTAGCCAATGAGAATTACATACTGGCCAGGGAATAATGTTACAATAGCTGTATGCACAGAGTTCCCATTGAAATAAGCACTGTTTCTCACTCTTGCCTACCTTAGCGTATTTCATCATCATGCCTGCTGTGTGTCAGTTTCCACTGAGTCTCTCAGAGTGCCCTGACTGGCCTCTCGAGGCTGAGAGAGAACCAGCAGAGAGAGGAAACTTCTCAAAATGTTCATGACAAACCCAGTGCCATATCAGCCACACAGGCCTGTTCCCCACCTGTCGCTGTGTGGAGAGTCTCCCAGCGAGTCGAAGGAGTCCCCGTACTGTAGCCCTGGCCGATGGGGGTCAGAATAACCACAGTGTGCAGCGCGTCGTGCCCGTGCCTCCATGCACGCAGGACTGCTGCATTTACTGGTCCCCACGGATGATGACATCATTCCCGGCGAGTCAGAGAGGATACTGTCAGAATGTTCCAGGCTCCATGTCCGTTCCTCGTGTCTGACAAATAAGAAAGGTGTTAACATGCACACATCCCACAGTGTGTGCAAGTGTGATTCTTGCTTTCTATCATTTTTTTTTTCCTAAAAGGACTAAATCTTTAGAAAAAGAAGCTTTGATAATCAATCTGCACTTGTTTGCAGAGGCAGAGCAGTTAACCTATGATCCACCACAGCTAAACTCCTCCGTTCTCATCAATGTTGATCCTCTTGTGACATATATCATTTCACATATAAAAACTTAGAATCCTTACTTTACAAACAATTAAAGCTGCACTAGGCAGAAATCTGGAAAAAGCACAAAAATCACCAGAATTTGAAAACATACTGTTCTAAGCCCCTCCTACAACACAAGCGCAATCTTCAAACATGCAGAGATAGTCAAGCTAAAAGGAAACATTTCATTTGAGGCTTCACCCAGGATTGAAAACCTCCATCTAACCCACTGCACCACCACAGTCAGGTCTTGGCTACAATCTCCTGTCACAGGCTAGTATTTCCAAAGCCAAAAAACAAGCCATGAGGAGGTGCATTGGTCTCGTTTCCTCTTAGGCCACTTGAATTAGAAAAAACCTCATTGTTAGTATGGATTCTTTGCTTAACAATGCCCCCCAAAATTACAGCCTACTTCCGCTTTAAAGGTCCCATTTTGCACCTCTTTTCATCAAATGAATCAAAGTCTCCTCACAGTTTGTCTTTTAGTGTTTCAGCTCAAAATAGTGCACAGATGGTTCATTTCAGACTGCATAACCCTGCTTTTAGGGCTCTTCTAAATGGGCTCTGAAAACCAATAACCTGTTTCTGTTCCCGCCCCCTTCAGTAAGAAAACGCTGTCTGTGGAGCTGTCAATCAAAGCTGGAGCTGGACAACGACTGGTTAGTTAGGTGGCACCAGGGTCAGAGTCTTGCTTGCTTGCAAATCTAACTAGTTGCACAGGGGTTTAAGAAATGGTAGACATAAAGGTCTTGGTATTTTTAAAGCTTTTATTTTATTGTTTTATTTCTGTCGGCACTAACCTCTTCCACCTTCGATTACTTCTAAAATTAAAAATTTGTTTATGCCTCATAAAGAGATGGCAATCAGTGTTCATGCTTTTGTTTTTCTCTCTCGGTAGAAATCAGTCACTGGCAGGTGGTTCAAACTGATGCAGCATTTTTTAATTTACTTAAATCTGATTGTAACCACCAATCACATAACTTTGAGTAAAGGGCTTTCATAAACATTTGATGTTTTTGGATCCACCTTACAAAAAAAATAACTTCATTAACTAAATATTTCTTCTCACTTAATGATTAACTCTGTATTTAGGTACACATAATGGAGCATTTGGTGCATTCTTACCTGTGAGTTGATGAATGGGCTCGCGTGGAAGAGTTGTGAGATCTGGAAGAGGCATGACTGGCGGGGAAGGATCCCTCTGTTGCAGGCCGTATGACTCGTTCAGTTGCAGGGGCATTCTTTGATATGTACTGTTTCCAACGAAAATGGGTATGGCAGATGGAGAAATGTGGGGAATAAAAGATGAACTTTGACTTTATAATCACAAATACATTTGGTGTACATCTGTCTTTGTACACTTTAATAATGTTAGGAATTCGCTCAGAAACGTACATCTACCATCGGGATTTCCTCTGGGCCGGGTCCTGGGTGATTGGGTCCGTTAGCAAGGTTACGATTGGGATGTTCTGGACACATGTTTTGTCGCAGATGATTGTGCATCTTCTTTCTTTGTTTCCTGTTGAGCAAAATTTGGTCATTTTTTTGTAGCTCTTTTTTTGTTAATCACTTAACATTAAGATTCATTATTTAAACATGTCTAATGATATAAAACATTTTAAGACAGCAAACACAGCAATCTTTCTCATCCATCTATAATAGATGTTACAGGTAAACAGTTCACCAGTAGCTTGAGTATACAGTAATCTTTTTTTTTTAACACGGGGGGTAAAATGGTTACATGTGACTACACGTCCAAAAATAATGAGCTGATCCATTTAACAGCGGGACTTACTTGGTTTTGCAGTAGGCAACCACACACACGATGCCCACCACCAACAGAGCCACACAAATACCCGTGATTGTCAGGACTCTTTTCTGGTAGAGTTCCTCTGCCTCTGTCAACATCACACCCACAAATACACAGACGCACCCACACACGCAACACAGAGAGATGACAGGAAAGAAAAATTAACGTCTTCAAGGTGGTTATGGTTCCAACTTTTCCACTCAACATCTACACGCCTTTTTTTTTTTTTTTTTTTTTTACTAAATCCTGAGCAGTATGAAGCTTCATCCTCCTCCTTCCCCTGACAACTCACTTCACACTTAAACCTCTCTTCTCACATATTCACTAATACAACAGATGCTGTTGCTCCCTGCGCTGCAGTGAGGCGGCGTAGGTGGGGGTAGGAGCTCAGCAGTGGTTGACTGATCTATTAAGCGACTGCATTGCCTAAAAATCTGAGTAATTTCAAATAACATAGGATTATGTAATGGTTCAGGCCTTGATTTAATGGCCAGAACCTGCAATTTGTACAGTATTGTAATGGTGCACATGAGAATTGGAAATGCCATGTCCTTATATACCAAATGTTCTAGTACCCCAATTTGGTTAAGTCTAACATGGCAGCTACCTGATCAACTATTCATTTGTAGAAGTGTTCATCTACTCAGGTATTCAGTAAATACAACGATGAGATCTTATAATAATTTACAAAACAATTGAATTTTGAAATGAAATGTCATTAATATGAAATATGATTGATGCTTTTGCTTTTCCAGAGAAGAGCTTGCGTGAGGTTGAGGTAGAGGCTTTTTTGTTTTTCTGCCGGGGAAAATGATGGAGCAAAGAGGTAGTGTGGTCCCTGATAAATAATGTAATACAAATGAATTGAATTTGTACAACTCCTTCCATCTGAGGTTTCCTCCGCTCATTCACCAGCAGCCATTTTACATCAGCGTACCAATTTGTGTCAAGTTTCTGACACCATAAATAAATCACAGAAGTCAGTTTATTTTTAGCAGCAAACTGGGTAATATTTCATCAATACTGTTTGTTATCTACTAACAACAGAGGAAATGATAATTTTGTTGCTTTATTAACACAACAGTCCAGTACATTAATGTTTTTGTATGATCTGCATTCTCTCAACCACCACAGCTTCTTTTTTTTCTTGAAAAGCAGCAGCAAACAAGAGCTAACAGTCAAAGAAGATAGAAATAGTGGCAGACAGAAGAAAAAACTGTAGAGCCTAACAATAGCATTACATGCTCACATCACAGCACTTCACTCCTTTAAGGATGATTCTAACCAGCAACACAGACATCACATTTTATTCTTCTAAGTTACATGTCAGCTATACTAACGACGGGGTGATGTAAGAAGCATGGACAAGATCACATGTAAATAAAAAGAAAGAGATGGCATATCAAAGAAAAAGAGACCAGCGGGGTTGGGAAGATAGAGCTGGATACTGGGGAAAGACATCTGGAAGCTTCAAACATGACACATCATGCTTGTTACAGATGGAATGAGGAACCAGAGTCCAAAAGGGAAAATATGCTATCATGAGTGAGACGGAAACTTCAGTTAATGGTACTTTTCCATTGCACATGTATGGAGGTGGAGGCGATTGCATCCATGTTAATGATTGATGGAGGATCAGTTGCATCGACTTGAGAGTTTGTCATTCTAACAAGCTACGGTATGATTGCTCGAGAGGTTGATTGGTTAATCGAGGAACGATATGATTCACAGGTCACACCACAGACGGGACAGGAGCATGTCAAAATGACGGACATCGCAGTAGCTATGCTAGGACTGAGAATCAAAATGGATTGTTCCATACCCATAAATTCAATCCCAAGATGCTCTGCCATTGCAGAGGGTTGAGAGGTGGAAGAAGAAAAAAAAAAACAACAAACAAAAAACAACAAGACCAGATTAAGAGAGTGGCATCTTCTAACATAAAGTGAAGTAAACACAAGTTGGCATCACAGCAACTGAGACAACAAACACTTGTCAGTAACTGTCAAAACGACATGGTCAGTAACATCTAACACAAGACGCCTTCATGCAACACGCACGTCAAACCACACTGCACAAAACCACACAAAGCCACTATACATTGCAGTTGTGTACATGACTACACAGCTACAATGCTCTTAAAGGTAATTTTTCTATGACTAATATACTCTAAATAAACTACAGTAAGCTCCTCTGGTGCGTAGCTGTCTCAACACAATGTTTTTGTTGCTTTCAAGTTTTTCAGAAAGTCTTATTTCATTACATAACCCAACAAAGTCTCCTAATGGGAATAGGATATTAGACGCATAGCAACTCTCGTTACTACTGTATAGGGAAAACGTGCGTCATCTGCGGAGATTACCTGTGCTTTCAGTTTTCTGCTTTCTAAAAATGCTACGCTGTCGGTTCCCGGACACACCCATCACATGAACAGGCAAGTAAAAAGGAGTGTATCCGCACTGTTTTGGGATAATCACGCTGAATAAGAAGAATTATGGCCGGACTTTATATTATATGGCAGACTGAGGCCACAGGGAGGTTGTACCAACTAACTGAGTCCATATCTCTGGCAACTCGCTTGCTTTACTTGGGCCAAAGCAAGTCCCAGCTGTTCTTATGACAACATGCTCTTATTAATCCAAGCCCTTATGGCTGAGGAGCAGAAGCCATCCTCCTTCTCGTCGGTATCTCGTGGGGATGGGAGGCGCCCCTACAGGAGGCGGGTCTTTAAGTGCGGAATGGATATGTGTGTGTGTGTGTGTGTGTTTGTGTGTGTGTGCGCACAGGGGCCTAGTCCTCAAGTCTTGATTTATTCTCCTTAATTGAACGTAGAGTCGAAAATGCAATGTTCTTTCCATGATAGTGTTATCATGCACAGAGGGCAGCTATTTCTCATTTTTATGTGGCCTGTGTGTTAACAGGTAGGACTGCGTATTGTCTCAACATTAGTCTTATTAAATCGCAATGTTTTCACTCCGGTTTTTAAATCTGTCTCCGCTTAAGCCCACAAATTATCACTTGAACATGAAAGCATGCAAAAACCCCAATAAGCAAAAGCTGCTCTGCGTCCATGTCGCTCGGATGAGAACATTGATGCAGATGCACAGCTGCACTGAAGTTAAACAGAATGCAGGAAAAGTGAGTGAGCGTAGGAAAAAGAGCTCCCACACACCACTGTCTGCTCTGCCAAAAAAACAAGTAATTTCAGCACAGCGCATTACGACTTAATGTGAGATGAAATTACTTGTAGTTAAGAAGGGGGCTTTTTTTTTTTTTTGCATTTTTCCCTGTGCCAACATACAACAAACAGCATGTGTGAGCTCTACTAGACCGACTGCAGGGATGAGACTCTGTAGGCAGCAGAAGGCGACTCCTAAAGGAGATGCAGTTTGTTATTTTCTAAATGCGATGTTTCATTGAATTGCAACCATATGGGCTTGCAAAGACATGACACTGACAAATATGCAGTAAGATAACAGGAGATTCTTTGCTATTACCCAACATAAATTATAGGCTTTGTATTTAATTCTATATTGTTATTATACACTGCCATTAACCTTGTATATACAGGGTTTTATCTTTTATTTATACCCAAGTCTAGCTACATGAATTCTGTTGTTTATGTTTCATTAATGCCAAATCAATCACTACTTTCTGTAAAAGTAATTGACCAACAAGCAACACTGACATGTAAACAATGAAGACTGCATTAACAAGTTGCTTGTCTAAAGAAGCATGACTCCAGACCATGTGGATAGTTTTTAAAGCAAAAAGACCTCAAGGGCAAGATCTATCAAACCGTAGCCCTCCACAAAACTTCCTTTAATCTGAGTATAATTCTGCAGTTGATGGATGTGTTTGCTGATGTTGCCGTGTGGAATGGTGCAGGGTTGACTTCTCTTACCCCAGGCAAGCAAAGCTGTTTGACATGGCACTCTAGTATTGTGTGTGAACTCTACGCTGAGGACATCTGCTGCGAGAGCACCATTTTGTCGCTTCTTCTGGAGCAATGTCTGTTTGCAACAAAGTGCAATTTGCTGAATGTCCTGGTGTGCACCTAACAACTTTCAGTGTGTTGTACAGACTGGCTGTAATCGAGGTCTTCAGCAAGCTAGCAAGCAGTCTGAAAGTCAGACAAATGGTACTTTTAATTTAAGCGTGAACATTCTAATTAAATCAGCTGTGATCTATGAAAAGAAAACAATAACTTTTACATTTTTTTGCTGCACTTGATCGGATCTTTGTGAAATTCTGGACTATATTCAAGATCAAGTCAAATTCGTCAAGAACTGAATATGTGTTAAGTGGAGCTTTGTCATGTTGCCTCATGTTTCATCCACTGTTTATACTGAACTCACTGACTTTTTTTTTATCTGGAATTCTACATTTGATATCTTGTGTGGAATGTATCATAATAGCTCATATTAAAAACAACAGACACTTCAGCTTTGAGCTTCAGCCGATTAGACCCCCTTCAAGTTTTGGCTCTTAACAAACCTGAAATTGTCAGTTAAGCCAGTGCACTTTCTAACAGATTCAATCTTTTGTCATGCCTATTAGTTGATTCTAATTGGTCAGGCCTGGCTTTCCATCCATGGATCAGCTGTAGTAGGATCATACATGCTTTGCATGTCTGCATTTGATTGCAGACATGATTAGTGAGCAAGCTTAACATTGTGTTTTAGTAATTATTTTGCCATTAGACTGTGTGGTTGCATGCAGCTAACTATGTGCAAATCAAGTTGCACAAAGCATCCAAACACAGAGCTGGACTTGTTGCTCTCAGACTTACTATGAGCTCCTATTCTGAGAATGCACATGCAATGCACTGCAAGTTAAAGGGCGCACAATATGCACATGCTGACAAAACACAGTAACAGACTCTACTAATCTATGCCAGCTTGCGAATGAGTCATCAGAGGAGACACAGACACAACTATTAGGTAATAACAGGAAATTAATGCAGTCTCCCTACACCCAGCATGCACGCATGTCACAAAGACAGTCTGACAGAGTGACAGAAGAGGAAATTGACATACGGTAGAAACTGGCCATAACGTAGGTTTGACAGCGATCACCAGTAAAGTCATTTGGACACCTGATGGGGAGAAACAAAGCCACAGGAGGAGAGGAGGGAGGAGGAGGAGGAGGGTGGTGGGTGGTGGGTGAGTGAGATAAAAGAGAGAAAACAGAGGGAGAGAGGGCAAAGGGTAGAGTGAAAAGGAGAGTATGCGTAAGAAGAAGTGAGAGAGGAGGGAGAGAGGGTGGGTGGGAGAGAGAGAGAGAGGGAGAGAGAGGCAGAGAGACACAGAATTAGAACAACAGCACAACTACAGACAGCAGAAGCAGAGTGTTCCCATGGATGACACCACCGTGAACATGGTGTAGTGCACAGCTCATTGCGTGTTGACCTGAGAAAGAGAAAGAGGAGGAGAAAGAGGAGGAAGAGAACTGGGGGAGGCAGCAGGAGTCCACAGAGGTAATCCAGTGACAACTGTGTCTCTGTTCTCAGCTGCTCATATCAAGTGAACATACTTTTGAAAGGATTGGGCATGTACAACCGCAGCGGCTCAGTCTGCAAGCATCGTGGGCCGAAGTATCCGTCCGGACATCTGGGAAGGAGCAGACAAGTGTTATGAAAAGGAAAACACAGAAAGTGAGGTGCACTGTAAATTTCATGGAGTCAAATCCCTCGGCGCATATTGCTGCACAGCGTCAAACGTCACATATATCGCACGCAGATCACCAAAAGAAAACAAGAGAAACAATAAAACCTGCTACCAAAAGTGGTCCACAGTATATTACAAAAAGATAATAAAAGAAGACAAAGAGAGGGAGGACAAAAAATTAAATGACATACTGCATAATAATAAAAAAAAAAGTCAATAAAAGGCAAGTTTACGACAAAACTGTGTTTAAATGATGTTATAAAAGGTAATATATAGACTTGGGGGGCTCTGATAGTTCCCGTCTTTTTGTGTCTTCCATGAGTACACGGAGAAAAATAACACATGTGGAATGTGGCTGGGGATAAACCATGAACTGCTTTATAGGTGATCAATGAATCAATCCAAGAATCTTGTGCAATGAACCAGAAAATGGGGTAAAATGGTTTCTCTCTTGGAGCCTCTTGGAATCCTGGTAGATGTGTTTATGGCCCGCAAATGTGACAGTTTTATAATCAATACCACATTAGAGTGAGGCAAAGTAGTGAAATCAGGAAGAAATAAAATCCAAAAACTCTATTAGCAGTTGGAGAAGAAAAAAAAAAAGGTGAACCTGTAGACGTTTCTCAGTGGGCAAACATGACTGGACAGCTTGTTTACTTGGGTTTTGAAACATAACTTTATGTCAAGACTGAGGGTTTTTTTTTTTTTTATGTGTAGATTTAGATTTTTGTAACCAAAGACAAATGATCATCACCATCAAGCGTGTTGAGCCTACACATATTTCCTCATTATAATCCCATTCGGATGAGCAGTTGGTCTTTAAGGTCCACCGACATTCCACTCGCAGCCGCAACTAGACCACCAATCCAACAAAGGTCATTGCTGGTGATTTACTAGTTTCACACAACGCCTCCCAGGAGCACCATAACATTCAGCATTAAATTACTCATCCTGAGTGATGGTGTTTAACTGGGGGATAGCACCACCTAGACCAAGGAAACTTGGCTGGAAGATGAAAGAAATATACTGTCATCACATAATTTAAAAATCAGAAGAGCGCACACAGATCCACAGTGGTGCATTAAATAAACATGTGCCATTTAAGGGGACAAAAGCGTTTTACCATGTGTTGTGAGGCAGGGTGTGTTCTTAAACACATTCAACCTGTATATGCAATAGACCTGCACAGCTCATTCCTTTCCCATAAGTCCCAGAGAGAAGTGATTCTGATCTGTTTTTTGTTTTTTTTAAACATTATTTTTCTTTTTCCTGCTCATTAAAGACTACTAATGCACTTTTCTTAACCTTTATAGAACTTAAACAATCAACCAATTAATCAACATGCGACATGACAGACAAAGTACATTGAAATGAGGCATGAAAAAACTTTGCATGTTCCTAATTTCTCAAAAGTGAGGCTTTTTTTCCTCCACATTTTATATAGTTGTAAACTGTATGTCTTTGAGTTTTGAACGGTTGGTCAGACAAAATGAGGCAATTACATCCCCTTATAAGACTGTAAAGAGCCTTACGTAAGAGAATGACACATGCAGGCTTTACAGTATGTCAGATGATAGATAAAACTCCAATTTCAGCTTTTTTGTGTGTCAATCTACAACTATTTTACATTTTGTGAGAAAAACACACCTTTGTTTATGGTTTTACATGAAAATGACAACAGATATGAACATGTTTCTACTGTCTCTGCATTTTATGTCTAATTCTGTGTTTAAATATAGGAGATCCTCGGGAGAAATACAGCGAGTTACTTACTTCAGGTCATTTATTAACCTTACCTCTCCCTAAAACAAAGTTTATACCTCAAAGTGAGGGAGCTGGGCATGAAAGTGGGGCTAGCTGTCTGCAGGACTTGTTTAGCCAGTGAGTAATACCCACTGAAGCCTGGCCTATATTGAATGAGATGGCTGTGGGGCAACAAATCCCTGCAGGCCTTCACTGCATTATCCAACTTTTCTGGACCCATGCCCCGGCCGTGAGTGAATTAGCTGCAGCAATTGAGTTATTGCTGCCTCCAATTTGTACACAGCGTATTGAACGGCTGTTGCAGCCATGTCCTCGTTGCTTGTCGAGCGTTCTTTCTTTGGCCAACTGGGCACAGAAGCCTCTATATCAAACCAGCCGGAGGACTTATGTTATGTTGACACATGGTCCAACAGAGCTTGCAACATAATATCTGACAGCCATGACAGAGAACAATGTGCATGCATGCATTTTGTGTTGTAAGTAAACTATTAAGTTTTACTGGTCGTTGTAGTTAAAACTTAAGTGATTAATGGTTGTTTTATTATCAATTAATCAGATGATTATTTCCTAATTGAACTGAGGAATCTTTTGATCCATATAAAGTCTGAAAATATTAAAAAACTGCCAATTGCAAAGTCAAAATTCTTGTTTTATCTGACTCACAGTCCAAAACTCAAAGAGATTTAGTTCATAACACCAAAAAACAACCAGCCAGTGTTCACATTTAAGAAGTTCAAACCAACCAACCATTTGGCATTTTTACTTAAAATTGAAAACAGATTATGAAACTAGTCGTGTTTTAATTTCCCGATGAGTTACTTAACCAAAAGCCGCGTCTTCAAGTATAAATAGGTTCTGAAAAACACGGCGGGGGGAAAAAAAAACTACAAAGAAAAGCATCTGTTTATGCGAACTTCTTATCACTCCAAATAATGTTTCTTGACCTTAAGTTTAACACAAACTAAAATGTAAATGTCAAAGGCAAAGAAAAAAAGAAAAAAAGAGGTTGTTTCTGTGATAATGTCAACCTGTTTTCTTCCTGAAAAGCAGAGATACATGGTTCCTCCAGCGCACTTTACACACAGGTCTTGATCCCCTCCGCCAAATGTAAGCAATGATTCTATTTACCTCATTGGGGGCCTCTAACAGGCATAAATATTTGCTCACTACTAAACCAGTGACTCATGACATTTTGAAAAGGCTTTTAATGTGCAGCCCTCCTGTACACTAAACACGACTTAAAAGGATGAGCGCACACCACCGCCTCGCTCCATTATTAGTGTTAAAATACACAACAGGTGGGTAGTTAGGCAAACTGGCAGCATTTTCCTGTGATGTGTTGCTGCTGCTGCTGCTTGCTGCTGCTGAAAGAAAGAAGAAAGGGAGGGGAGGTGTGGAGGGGGAATCAAGCCATATCGTGAAAACAAACAGCAAGATAAAAAAAAAAGTTAGAATGTTGAGGAATATTACTAAATGAAAGGCCGGTTTTCATCCAGACTGTGGGATGAGACATCTTTTAAAGAATGACTGTTTTAAGAAAAAGAAAGAATCCAAAAAAACTGAGGAGATAACTTACTTGCAGGAAAGCTTATTTATACCATCGATGACGTAACAGTCGCCGCCATTCACACAGTAGGCCTTGTCTGTGTCGTTGCATCTTCTGGCGTGGCCTGAGCCTGGAGCTAGCGTTGTGGTTACTGAGAAACAAAAAGACAGGAGAAAAAAAAGGCGCATTAACACCATGTGACCCAGCTTAAAATGCTGATTTGGTAAAAATGGTAAATGGTCTGCACTTATATAGCGCTTTTCTACCTTTGCGGCACTCAAAGCACTTTACAATGTTTCTCATTCACCCATACACCAATGGCGACAGAGCTGCCATGCAAGGCGCTAATCTGTCATTGGGAGCCATTTGGGGTTCAGTATCTTGCCCAAGGACACTTTGGCATGTGGGGGGAACCGGGGATCGAACCGCCAACCTTGCCATCAGTGTACAACCCGCTCTACCACTGGAGCCACAGCCGCCCACAATTTCACTCCTCGGTAAGATTAATAAATGATAATTTAACCCTTTTCAGGACTTTTGGGGTTTTTTTGGACCCCAGGCCATTTGGTTTAGGTGTCAGGTATTGTTTTTTATTTATGGAGATTTTTTTTTTTTTTTTAAATATAAAAAGAGAGACATTTGTCATACATTTGGAACCAAAAAAATCGTCAACTTGTCAGAAAATTTAACATAATATAAAAGTCTATAATGAATACCAACACTTATTTTGCACATATTCTTTCTTGGGGTCCAGTGGACCCTTAAAGACCTTCTACGTATGACAACATGAAAGTCCTGAATAGGGTTAAGGCCGAAATGAGAAACCATCATAATAATAAACATAGGTTTTTATTTAGTGTGAATTCGCTCGTCATTTCTACCAGCGTAACAGTACACCTGCAAGCATTTGGAGCTTTACTCATATTATACACTTGTATTTCCACAAGGACTCTTAGTTTTCCATCCACAAACGTAATTGTGTCTCTAAGCAGTGTTGACACTATCTGAAGAAGTTCTACGAGCAAAGATAAATATTTCCCTGACATAGCGTAGGAGTTGTTTATGCGTTGACTCAGGTCCTTGGAATGGCCCAAAATGTCATGTATCTGCACTTAATCCTCCAGACTGAATAGATATAATATGTTTGGGATGAAGTCTGCTTATCAGACCGAAAATAGGGACGTTTGAAGGAAGAGGAGTGCTGAGAGAACGGCACCGTGGCAGGATTGGGCTTGAGCAGGGAGGGGTGTGCTTCGCATGTCAGATGTTGACACGTGATTGCGACCGTGTACCCGTCGTTAGACGCTGCAGTTTGCTGGTGGGGACGCGGAACTTCTGCAACTGGAAGGATCTTCACAGCTACGACACGTTGGCTTCGGCGGCCTGACGATCGTGCAAGAACGCCGTGACGAGAAACTACACCAGGGTTTTTTTTTTTGTTCCGCTGGCTCTGACTTATAGGAGACAGTTTGCCAGCACAACAAGTTTTCACAACTCCCATTTGTTCCGCAGTAACAGTTATAGAGTAACTCTGTCCTCTGCTTGGAGAAGCGCGCTGTTTTGGTCAGAAGCACACTTCTGGTCTGGCTAAAACAACAGAGGTTAATTCCCCTGCTAGTTAGCATAACAAAGCAAACAGATGACATCAGTCCGAGCTTCACTTGCCAGTATGAGTTTGAGAAGGACATGAGTAAGTCAGCACTTTGCAAAGTCCAAACACAATAGTAGAAGAAAAGCTATAAACGGGTTATGTTTTAATAAATGTAATTATACTCTTAAAGTCGGATGTCATCACTCGGCCAAAAAGAGGCTGCATTACTTCTCAACTTTGGTGGACGTACAACAGAGGTTTACTTTACATAACATCCATCCAAGATGTAAATCTGCAACTCGGTTCAATTCAAATGATGAGATGAGACTTGATTTATAACTGACATTCAATTCTAGTAGAGAAATAAAAAAACAACTTTCTTTTTAGGGCTTTTCATTTATAAGCTATCATGTTATCTGCTCCCTACAACGTTTCAAAAGCAACACAGCATCAATCCAGCCTCACCTCCAAATTTTCCAGAAGACATTTCCAGCTTTAACAGTTAATCAGAACTACTTCATTGTCACCTGACCTCTAGCTCGAGTGCGGGCGTGTAAAACAGCTCATAAAAAGATCAGACAACGCTGTCAGGAAGAGAGAACCTGAAAACATTGTAAAAACCCTCCTACGCTCAAAATAGAAACCTTGTGCAGACTTCAACTGTAAAACAGGCAAAACAAAAGGCGGCAAAACAAGCTGCATGGATGTCTATATAGGGCAGCAGCCCATCCCAGAATGCATCGGTGGAAGGGAGCGGGGAGAGTCCTGGACAGATCATCAGTCCTCCGCAAGGGCGGGAACGACACACCGACAATCACCCTCACACATAATCTCCAGTCCACCTGGCTTACATGTGGGTGGACTGTGGGTGAAAAAACAGACGACCCAGAGAAAAACCCACACAGGGAGACGGAGAACATGTAAACTTCACACACAAAGGATCAAGGCTGATATTTGAACCGTGGACAAGTTCTGCTGTCAAAGTTTATTTGGCTACTGGTCATGCCAAATCTGTTTTACTATGGTCTCTTTTTCTTTCCTCCTTCACATAATTTTCATCCCCCCCAAAAAAAAGAAAGAAAGAGAGAAAAAAAAAAAAACACTTTTCTGGGACTTCGCTGAGCTTATTAATGCCCTAAATTAGCTTACCGCAAAATCTCATAACAACACTTTGCTGTCATTAGAGGGCTGCTACATGACCTAATGCTTAAGCTCTTTGAACTCCACATAAATACTAATTGACCACAACCTACTTTTGTCTTTTTTTTTTCTTTTTTTTTTACATTCACAGATTCCTTTTAACACTATGTCTCTGTGGGTATTAATCTCTGTTTTAAAATTTCTGCAATACAATTAATATTCAACAGGCTACTTACTGCACTACTGTGGCCAGACTTACATGGAATCTGGGTTTAAAGTGACGTTTTGTTTTCTAAAGAGTCAGTGGCAAAGGTTGAACACTGATAGCACTGACACACGTTTTAAAAATGCATTTGTGCTGATATTTTCTCAATTATACTTGAATCAACTGAAAAAAAGGGGGACATATTAATCACATCCCTCTGATTGAAAACCCCCACTTTTGGAGGATGAAGCTGCAGTTTTTTTTTTGAAGAACTTTTAGACCCAAACATCTGTAGCACCGTTGCTTGTTTTCTGTTGCCTTCCAGCTGAATGCTGGAGCCCACACATCTCCCCTCAGCCAAGGTTCATTTGCCTATACAACAAACACCACCTGCCCGTATTCAAGAGCTTCAAGGAGGAGCAGCAACACATTCCTTTGGACCTCATTTTACCCTCAATACAGTAAAAAAAAAAAGAAAAAAGCCTTCTTTGGAGAATTTAGTGGAGTCTGAAGAAAGGCTCACACACTGACTTTCTTTAAAAAAAAAAAGAGAGGATCTGTACACGTTAATTTGTGAATCTTTTCAATTGGCATCTCTGAAAAGAGTCAGGAGCACTACAAACAAATGCATAATGACTGAGGGGTTTTGTACCCTGGATAACTACGTTTGCTAAACAAGCTTTCTATACATCCCACAGCACTCGAAGGTAATGTTTTTATGACTTTGATCACAGGTCATCAAAGACCTAAACTGTGTTGCAGGAGCATCGAGGAACCTCAAACTTTTCCCAACACAAGGTTAGTTAATAAAGTTTTTTTTTGTTTTGTTTTGTTTCTAACAGCTTAGCACCATTAAAGCAAGTGCTGCTGCTGCTTTTAGTTGCTTCAAAGATGGCACGCATCCCAATACTAACAAAAACAATCCATTTGGGAACATTTATTGGCCTGCAGTCATCAACTGACATCCAATCTATGACACTGCACAGTCAGTGTCCCAGTTTTCTCCTCCTTTTCTCTGCCGTCCTCCCTCCTTTCCCTTGTGTCCTCCAGTTACTCCTCCATATCAGACGCTCTGTTGTAACACAGAAACCGAAGGAAAGTTCCAGTTTCAGCAGATCTTGAGCAGAAGGATTAGAAAACCTTAATTATAAACAGAAGCATGTAATTAAATTACTGGACTTGACAGCATGGAGACAATAAATCTGTAAAGTACAGACAGTTCACTAAATCAAGTATTCATCATTGTTGTGGTGGAGAGTCTGGCTCATGTAGGAAAAAAAATCTCCTGCACACTTTGACTTAAAAGGCACCAGGAACAATCAACACGAAGGGGGTTCAACGTTTCAAATTATTATGTCAAGTTAAACCTTGATTTAAACTGCCGGAGGCCAATGCCGGGGAACTGTAACTAAACTGATGCACGGAGCATCTATAAATCATACATGTGCACCCACTTCAGGTTTTATAATAATCTTGTAAAACTTGACAAAAAGTATGTAAAAACCTGCTGAGCAGCAGTAAAAAAAAAAAGAAAGAAAAAAAAAAAAAGAGCAGGACCCTGAGATGCCATCGACTTTCTTCTAGAGCGTCTGTTACTGCTTCTCATCGAGCTTACATCTGCAGCCAGCGCCGGTGTCAGGCCCAATGCCCACATCCTTGTAATGAATACTGGAACCAGCAACAACATGTTGCAACAACAAAATGCAAGCAGAGTGTGTTTTTAGTTACTTAATTTTATTCACTCCAAAATGTTTCTCAAGCCTTATTCAATATTCCAGACAGCAACCATTAAAAAAAAAAGAAAGTACATAAATGTGAGTTTTAGCTTACAGAACTGCATTGTGCCATTTATGAGGATTTTATATCCATGTGGTCAAGAAATCACTTAAAACTAATAAAACCTTTGAGCTGTGCGGAAGGTTCTCCAGTGGTCGGGCGTATCAAATGTAAATGTTCCTCCAGCAAGTAACGTTTTTTCCCAACGCGCTACCTACTATTGCAAAATCCACATTCAGAAGCAATGTTATTGTGCAGTAAACTGGAAAACCATTCAGTGACGTCTGCATGTTTTAAGCAGTGCTTGTACTTTCAAACACAAATGTTTTCTCCTGCTGTGCTCTCCCTCAATTTTATTTTGTGACATTAAAAAAACCCGCTTGAGTCACGGCGATGACACAATCGAAGGACGAAACAGCGAGTGACCAGAGCTCCTTTT